TAAACCTTAAAAGGGCTAATATTGCAATTATGTGCAATTTAGCTTAAAACATACTAAATGTAGTTATAAAAATATGTAAAAAGTACCTTAGCCATATTTTAGCATAAATACAGAAATTCAATAGGTGAATTATCGAAATAAGAATTTTAGAAATAACAATTGGGGAATTTATGGATAAAAAGCGAGAAAATAGATCAATTTAAAACCTTAAATTATAAAAAAAAACTTTGGACATGCTTATATATGCTTATATATATATATATATATATTCTATTTTGATGGTATTTTGCATATTAAAAATATATATGGAAAACTCGGGTATCAATAACAGGTATGCAACTTTTGATGGAAATAAGTACTTCTTGACTGTTGTTGATGACTTGGTTGTTTCTTCTGAAGTTAAAATCTGATGTGTGTGTTGTACTTGCTCAGTTTATTGTGTTTATTCAAACTCAGTTTAACAAAACCTTGAAGGCAGTCATATTTGATAATTGATCTGAATTTGTTAACTCTATATGCACCACCTTATTCAAAAAATATGGAATTATCCATCAGAAGACCTATGTTTACATTCCTTAGCAGAATGAAATTGCTGAGAGAAAACACAGGCATATCCTGGAGGTGACTAGAGCCTTAAGATTTCAGCCCAATATTCCTATTAAGTACTAGGGTCATTGTGTTCTTGCAGCAATATATATTATTAAAAGGATGCCATCTTCTGTACTCAATGGTCTGTCTCCCTTTGAGTTGTTGTATGGCAGAGCACCCAGTTTGGACCATTTGAGATTGCTTGGCTGTCTGTGTTATGCCAAACAGATTCAGGAGACAGACAAACTTCTTCCTAGGGCTAAACCTACAGTCCTTATGGGGTTTTCTGATACTCAATAGGGTTATATTTTGTTGGATTTGGATACCCATTGCTTTCTTATTAACAGAGATGTTTCCTTCAGGGAAGATGTTTTCCCTTTCAAGGACTTTCCTGCAGCTATACCACCTGTATTCTTGCCCCTTGAGCCTTCTATTGTTGATACTGAGTTCACCTCACCTCCTTCTTCTAGTGATTCTGACCATGCAACTAGCAGATCAGAATAGGACTTATCTCTGCAGCACCACTCATCATTAGAAGCAGTTCCAGCAACCTTGCCTTTTCAGGACCTCAGTTTTCCTGGTCTAAGGAGATCATTAAGAACCAGACAAGCTCCTATTTGGATGAAAGACTTTGTGTCTTTTCCAGGACACAAGTCCGTGCCTTAATCTATTTCCAACTATGTGTCATATGATGGACTCTCTCCTAAATATCAGGCTCATCTAGTTGCCTTTTCCACTATAGTGGAACCTACCTCCTTTGAAGAAGTTGCTAAAGATCCTATGTGGGTGGATGCTATGCAGGCTGAGATTGCTGCTATGGAATCTAACACACTTGGGATGTGGTCTCTTTGCCTGATGGAAAATTCCTATTGGGTGAAAATGGATATACAAGGTCAAGTACAAGGCCTCAGGTGAGGTAGAAAGGTTCAAGGCCAGGCTTGTGGCCAAGGGGTATAGTCAGCAAGAGGGCATTGATTATCAGGAAACATTTAGTGCAGTGGTTAAAATGGTTAAAGTCTATTCTTCCAGTAGCTGCTTCTGAGCATTGGCACATTCATCAGATGGATATATACAATGCTTTTTTACAGGGTGACTTGCATGATGAGATATATATAACTCTGCCTCAAGGCTTTCAGAGTCAGGGGAGAGTAGACCAACATGTAGACTCTTGAAATCCTTGTATAGCCTCAAATAGGCACCAAGACAGTGGAATGCTAAGTTGTCTGAACCACTGGTGCACTTAGGTTTCATGTAGAGCCAACATGATCATGTCCCGACCCCAAACCCAACCCATCGTGGTGGCGCCTATCATGGAACTAGGCCAGCCTCAAACCAACGCAATCCAATACCACAATGTAAATATTAAAAATCATTTGCGGAAAACTTTCATCATTTTTAGAATAAATCGTTTAAGACATAAGAGAAAGATTAATATTACAATACATTCGTCCCAAAACCATGGTGTCACTGAGATCATGAGAGTCTAAGGTAAATACATAGTCTATCAAAGTGTCTAAGAACCAACAGAAAAATACAACTGGAAGTGAGAAGGAGAGCCCAAGGCCTACGAACGCCGTGAAGGTACCTCAATAATCTTCTAAGTCAGAAGGCTCGATCAAACATCTGCCACTGGATCCAAAGTGAATCTGTACACGAGGTACAGTGGGTAATGTGAGTACACCAACACAGTAAGTAACAAGTCCAAACTATTGACTGATAAGTAGTGACGAACTCAACCTCTTCATAAGATAAACAGGAATATCGTACAGGAAAGTAGGCATGCTTTTAGTTAATTAAATAGATCATGACATGGAAATAGAGCAAGTATGAATATGATTAAGGAGTATAACTCCGCTATATCTACATGCCAATGCACATACTGTATGAAATGCACTCTGCCAAGTACCTCATGTACCCAATAACTCGATGCTCGTCCACTCAGTACTATAAGTGGCTCATACGACCTAGGGAAGATCCATCCCGTATACATATATATCTCTAACAGCATTCACTCAGTACTGAGGAAGGCCAGTCCAGCCTACGGAGAAGATCCATCTCCTGGTAGCAATAATAACAACCTCACAACCACTCGGTACCGTATATGGCTCACAAGCCCAGGGAAGATTCATCCCGGAATATATATACACATCACAGACTATTAGTCTCCAGTACTGAGGAACATGCCAATCTAGCCTCATGGAGAAGATCCATCTCCATACCCATACTTTGGACAAGATCTATCCCTCAATATCGTCAACTGCGCTTACTAGGGGTGTAAAAGCTCCAGAAGGGCTTCTCTCATTAGCCCAAGCGCTATATAAATGCCAGCGAATACATGATCAATATTTTGCTGCGGTGTGTAGCCCGATCCCATACTATCAATATATATCAGGATCTCGGCCTCACTCTGTCAATACTCTCCAGTCCTACACACTCGGGCTAAAATGACATGATACTCGCCCTAACAATGATATGATATGTCAAGTAGCAATAATCGAGACTGAGGCATGATATAATATGCATGAACAGGACTGAGTATAGATTATAAATAAAGCTAATAACATGACAGCAAGAAATGACCTCTCGGGTCTCAACAATGTTGGCATGAAACCTTAACATGATAATTAGCATGATTTGCAGCTTATTAAGTTAATCACATAATTACAACACATATATCAACATAAAAGACTCACTAGGTTGTGCCATAGAATTGTCTAGGTCGCCTTTCTCACGGTGCACGCCCACACGCCCGTCACTTGGAATTTGCGTCACCTCAACAGTAATCATAGAACACACAGTTCGGGGTTTCGAACCCTTAGAACTAATTTTGGAAGCATTGCTTACCTCAAGTCAAGCCAAACTCTAGCCCACGACACCTCATCCTCTCGATTCGGCTTCCAAATGCCCTGAATCTAACCCGAAACTGGTCAAAATAATCAAATTATATCAAAATCCCGAAACTGGTCAAAACCCGACCCCCGAGCCCACATCTGGGATTCCGATAAAATCACAAAACTAGAATCCTTACAGTCTCACGAGTTCATACATACCAAGAATACCAAAATCCGACCACAAATGACCCCTCAAATTCCTAGATTAAGGTCTCCAATTTTTAAGCCCTAAACCCCCAATTTTTGCTACTAATTTCCATATATTTCAAGCTTAATCGGTCAAAAACCATCATAGAAACAAGTTTAGGGTCCAAAAATCTTTCCTCCATGAAACCCTCTTGAATTGCCTCTTCAATTTGCTCTCTAAAGCTTTCTCCCAAATGAAATATGGTGAAAAACCACTCAAAATCACGAAGGGCCAAATATATATATTCTGCCCCAGATAAACCGCTCCTGCGGTACAAAATCTCGCACCTACGGACCCGCACTTACGGTCCCAGGTGCACACCTACGGAACCCACTTAGCCGCACTAGGAACGCACCTGCGATCACAATACCGCACATGCGCTATCGCAGGTGCGCTCGAACAAGTGCTTCTGAGGGCCCAGCTCCCTATGGCCATTTTCGCATCTACGACCCTCTGGACGCTTCTGCGAGCCAGCACCTGCGGTCCCCAAGCCACAGGTATGGTTATGACAGAACTTCAGCAGTTTCAGCTGCAAATTCCTAACTCCAAACTTCCCGTCAACCATCTGAAATCACCCTGAGTCCCCCGTGACCTCAACGAAAAGCACGAATGAGTCATATACCACTATCCAAACTTATACCAATCTTCGAAACACCTCAAATAACATCGACTCAACCAAATAACATTGGATTCAAGCCTAAGGTTCCAAAAACTTTCGAATTCCGCTTTTGATCAAAAAATCTATCAAACATTGTCTGAATGACCTGCAATTATGCACACACGTCACAATTGACACCACGGACCTATTCCAACTTCCAGAAATTCCATTCCGACCCCTATATCAAAATCTCACCAATCAACCCGAAAATGCCAAAATTCCACTTTCGCCAATTCAAGCCTAAATCTACTCCGGACCTCCAAAACATATTCCGATCACGCTACTAAGTCCCAAATTACCTTTTGAAGCTATCCGAACTATCAGAATTCATATCCGAGCCCTTTTTCCGCATAAGTCAACGTCCGATTGACTTTTCCAACCTAAGCTTACTCAAAAGAGACTAAGTGTCTCATTCCTTTCCATAACCTCTCCGAACATGAACCAACTAGCCAGATATCACATAATACAGCTGGATAAGACAATAAGAAGCAGAAATGGGGGAAATAGGACTATAACTCTCGAAACAACCGATCGGGTCATTACAAATCACTCTTTATTTGTAAAAGAAACAGGCAAACATACTGTCATCATCTTGGTCTATGTGGATGATATTCTAACTGGACCTGATCTGACACTAATAAATGAAGTCAATGCTCAACTACAACTGACTTTTAAAATGAAGGATTTAGGAGAGTTGAAATACTTTCTTAGCATTGAATTTTCCAGGTCACAACAAGGTATTCTGATGCATCAAAGGAAATACACACTAGAGCTCATCTCTGAGCTTAGACTGGGAGCTGCGAAGCCTGCAATTACACATATTAAAGCTAATGTCAAGCTCACTACTAAGGAATATGATGAACACATTGGTGTTCTTGAAGGCACAACAGATGAAACCTTAACAGACCCCAGCAAGTACCAGAGGTTACTAGGAAAGCTACTCTACTTGACAGTCACACGACCAGATATAGCATATAGTGTTAAGACATTGAGTCAGTTTTTGCAGAAGCCAAAAAGGTTTCATATGGAAGCTGCACAAAGAGTGGTCAGGTATGTGAAAGGGCAGCCTGGACAAGGCATACTGTTGTCTAGCAGAAAAATGAACACTATTACAGCATACTGTGATGCTGACTGGGCTGCCTGTCCTCTCACAAGGAAATCAGTATCTGGATTCTTTGTCAAGTATGCTGAATCATTAGTATCTTGGAAGTCAAAGAAGCAACGCACTATCTCCAGGAGTTCAGCAGAATGAGAATATAGGAGCATTGCATCAACAGTAGCAGGGTTGGTTTGGATACTTCACTTATTCAAGGATATTGGAGTAGCTGTTAAACTCCTTGTGAACATACTCATAGACAGCAAAGCAACAATTCAAATAGCTTCCAATCTAGTATTCCATGAACGCACTAAATTGAATGTCATTTTATAAGAGAGAAGATACATAATGGGCTAGTGAGGACTGAATATGTAGCAACTAAGGAACAACTAGCAGATATCCTAACCAAGGGCTTAACTAGAGTTCAACATGAGTATTTGTTGTCCAAGCTAGGGGTACTTGATATCTTCATATCACCTGGCTTGAGAGGGAGTGTTGAGGAGAAAGGAGTAACCTGATTATGAGAAGTGGTGTAGGTTATTTATGTATGATAAGTCAGTTAGGGAGTTAATGAGACAGTTAGTTAGTTTGTTATAGTAGTTGTTAGTTACACGTATATATATATGTGTAAATGTAAAAGACACAGAGTGAGTGGAATAGAATTTTTCCGACTGTTACATTCATTTCTCTCTAAGATATTTCTTCTTCTCTTCTTCTTCCTCTCCTTCTCTTCTCCCTTTAGCTAGGGTTTCCGCAGGTGATCAATCACCAAACTTCAGCAGAAACTTGTCGCCATCACTACTCTTCAAGATCAAAATCTTATTCTCTGTTGCGGGTGTTGTTGAAGATGATGCCATGAGAAAAGTTTTTCTTAGAAAAGAGTTAGGACTAGGAGAAGGTTTGAGAAAAAAAGTTCCAAAGAATTGAATGATGAGGAATTGGTATTTATAGGCGTAAGCTAAACCCAATAGTTCTTGGTTTCTCTAAACCAACTTGGTCTCGGAAACCAACCTTATAACTGATCACTTCAACCAAAACTAGTATTTTATTGCTTCAAACCAAATTCAATACGTTCAGGAAAGAAAACCAAAACCAAATTATTATATTATAGAACTAATGTTCCAAGTAGATAACAAATCATAATCACACATTAATAGATTTACATCTTCTTTGTAGCATATTTCAATTCTTTTCCAAAGTTAAAGAATTAAAATAGCAAGCAGCGCTTTTTTCTATAGATTGCGATTTTAGAAAGTAATGTTTAATATTTTGGGGAAATAGAAGAAATTGCAGGAATGTAAATTATGATGAGTTCGTAACCTGCATTTTTTTTCTTTAGTTGTTGAGCATAGTTATCTTTTACGGCTTCTCCATCCCTAATTAGGCAATCTATGCATCAGCTAGCTTTCCCTCGTTGCGTATTATCTGGCCACAATCCTTTTCTTTAACCCTAATTATGCCTAAGACATAAAATTGAATGCTTCTTATCCCAAAGTCAATTAATAAAAGAATGAGGAGGAATTATTTTGGCAAAGCAAGAATGATTAGTTCATCTACGAATTGTCTGGTACTTTTTATGGAACATTTTCCTTACTATGATTCTTTCCCCTAATGCAGTATACAAACATAAAATATATTAAGTAATGCCCATTTCTATTCTTTATTGCGTTTGTTTGGAAGTATGGACCACATGTCCTCAATGCTACAAAAATGCAGAATTTTCATCCAGTAAACAACCTTAATCGTAATATTGTAATGAATAATAAGAAGAGATTCATAAATCGCATTATCGTGTTTCGATTTATATAAAAAAATGAGATAGTTATAGTATTCATCAATTGATGACCAAATTATATTGTGATGCATGAAAATTTATAATTAGCACGGATATCTTTGGGAAAAAGTTTATACCAAAGGGATTTCCTTCCATGATATCATTTAGTGTTTAATCCAACTAAGGATATTTCTAGTATCATAGTTACAACTTGGTTAGTTATTTAAAATGAAAGAACTTTGAAAATTTCTTTTCTCGTGAATTTTCTTTTAGATCCCTAGAGTGGTAGATTAATTACGCAAGATGTCGCCCTACTTTATAAGTACGTAGTAATGTAGAAACATATAATTTTTTCCACTGTCTAGTACGTTTTTTATTTTAACTATAGATATTGAAGTTGATATGTTGCTGATAGAGCCATAAATATGGGCTTGGTATGTTGGGCCGGCCCAGCCCAGCCCGTGATTTAGTAGGGTTGGGCTAAAATTTTTGGAGCTCATTTAAAAACAAGGCTTTTAAGCTCGGCCCGTGTAAGCCCATAGATCGTGGCCCGTGAGGCTTGACTGAGGCTGGGTCGGGCCGGCCGTGGGCCTAATAAAAATATGTATTTAAAATATATAAAATAAAAAGTTATATGACAAAAAATAACAAGAAGAGTATCCCAAGCTTAAAGTTTTAAGCTCATCATATTAAAAGATCAAAGTCTTGAAACGTTAATTAGTTTTAAAATTTTAATTATTCTTAATATTTAACTAATTAATATTGCAAACGAATTGTAAATGTAGATGAAAGTGAAGATGTTAAAACAATCTTCTAACAAGCGGATTCAAATGTGTTTGATGAAGATCATGTGTTGCATATCCCATAAGCGTCATGGACGTTCTCTTGAATAGTTTTTTAAATTTTGACTTTTAGTGAATGAAATGGTCTTGTCTACTTTTTTAGTGTTTATTGTAATATATTGGAACAATATAAAAAGTTATTAAGTTTTGTAAAAATTTTCCAATAAGATTTTTTTTAAGTTTTAAATAATTATGTTTTTTTTTGTTAGAACTTAAAGAAAAATATAAAATTATATTTTTTAAAAATGATGGGCCGACCCGTGGGGGCCCGCAACCCACGTAGGGATGAAGTGGGCTGACCATTATAAGGCCCATCGAAATGATGGGCTAGCCCAGCCCAGCCCGTCAATTGCTTAAGCCCATGTGGGCTGGTGTCACAACCCCAACCCCGGTCATGGTGGCGCCCAACACACTGCTAGGCAAGCCCGACCATTCAACAACATTATCCCAAATTCTTATTC